GATCGCATATGCTTGCAGACCGCATATGCTTGCAGATCACATCTGCTTGCAGATCGCATATGCTTGCATATGGCATATGCTTACATATGGCATATGCTTGCATATGGCATATGCTTGCAGATTGCATATGCTTGCAGATTCGCATATGGCATATGCTTGCAGATTGCATATGCTTGCAGATCGCATATGCTTGCAGATCGCATATGGCATATGCATGCAGATCGCATATGCTTGCAGATCGCATATGCTTGCAGATCACATATGCTTGCAGATCGCATATGCTTGCAGATTGCATATGCTTGCAGATCGCATATGGCATATGGTTGCAGATCGCATATGGCATATGCTTGCAGATCGCATATGGCATATGCTTGCAGATCGCATATGGCATATGCTTGCAGATCGCATATGGCATATGCTTGCAGATCGCATATGGCATATGCTTGCAGATCGCATATGGCATATGCTTGCAGATCGCATAGGCATATGCTTGCAGATCGCATATGCAAACATATGGCATATGCTTGCAGATTGCATATGCTTGCAGATCGCATATGCAAACATATGGCATATGCTTGCAGATTGCATATGCTTGTAGATCGCATAATGGCATATGCTTGCAGATCGCATAATGGCATATGCTTGCAGATCGTTAATGGCATATGCTTGCAGATCGCATATGGCATATGCTTGCAGATCGCATATGGCATATGCTTGCAGATCGCATATGGCATATGCTTGCAGATCGCATATGGCATATGCTTGCAGATCGCATACGGCATATGCTTGCAGATCGCATATGCAAACATATGGCATATGCTTGCAGATTGCATATGCTTGCAGATCGCATATGCAAACATATGGCATATGCTTGCAGATTGCATATGCTTGTAGATCGCATAATGGCATATGCTTGCAGATCGCATAATGGCATATGCTTGCAGATCGTTAATGGCATATGCTTGCAGATCGCATATGGCATATGCTTGCAGATCGCATATGCAAGCATATGGCATATGCTTGCAGATCGCATATGCCTGCAGATCGCAATTGGCATATGCTTGCAGATCGCATATGGCATATGCTTGCAGATCGCATATGGCATGTGTTTGCAGATCGCATATGCAAACATATGGCATATGCTTGCAGATTGCATATGCTTGCAGATCGCATAATGGCATATGCTTGCAGATCGCATAATGGCATATTATTGCAGATCGCATTATGGCATATGCTTGCAGATCGCATAATGGCATATGCTTGCAGATCGTTAATGGCATATGCTTGCAGATCGCATATGGCATATGCTTGCAGATCGCATATGCAAGCATATGACATATGCCTGCAGATCGCATATGCCTGCAGATCGCATAATGGCATATGCTTGCAGATCACATATGCCTGCAGATCGCATAATGGCATATGCTTGCAGATCGCATATGCAAACATATGGCATATGCTTGCAAATTGCATATGCTTGCAGATCGCATAATGGCATATGCTTGCAGATCGCATAATGGCATATGCTTGCAGATCGCATAATGGCATATGCTTGCAGATCGTTAATGGCATATGCTTGCAGATCGCATATGGCATATGCTTGCAGATCGCATATGGCATATGCTTGCAGATCGCATATGGCATATGCTTGCAGATCGCATATGGCATATGCTTGCAGATCGCATATGGCATATGCTTGCAGATCGCATATGGCATATGCTTGCAGATCGCATACGGCATATGCTTGCAGATCGCATATGCAAACATATGGCATATGCTTGCAGATTGCATATGCTTGCAGATCGCATATGCAAATATATGGCATATGCTTGCAGATTGCATATGCTTGTAGATCGCATAATGGCATATGCTTGCAGATCGCATAATGGCATATGCTTGCAGATCGTTAATGGCATATGGTTGCTGATCGCATATGGCATATGCTTGCAGATCGCATATGGCATATGCTATGCTGATCGCATATGGCATATGCTTGCAGATCGCATATGGCATATGCTTGCAGATCGCATATGGCATATGCTTGCAGATCGCATATGGCATATGCTTGCAGATCGCATACGGCATATGCTTGCAGATCGCATATGCAAACATATGGCATATGCTTGCAGATTGCATATGCTTGCAGATCGCATATGCAAATATATGGCATATGCTTGCAGATTGCATATGCTTGTAGATCGCATAATGGCATATGCTTGCAGATCGCATAATGGCATATGCTTGCAGATCGTTAATGGCATATGGTTGCTGATCGCATATGGCATATGCTTGCAGATCGCATATGCAAGCATATGCATATGCTTGCATATGGCATATGCCTGCAGATCGCATATGGCATATGCTTGCAGATCGCATATGGCATATGCTTGCAGATCGCATATGGCATGTGTTTGCAGATCGCATATGCAAACATATGGCATATGCTTGCAGATTGCATATGCTTGCAGATCGCATATGGCATATGCTTGCAGATTGCATATGCTTGCAGATCGCATATGCTTGCAGATCACATATGCTTGCAGATCGCATATGCTTGCAGATTGCATATGGTTGCAGATCGCATATGGCATATGGTTGCAGATCGCATATGGTATATGCTTGCAGATCGCATATGGCATATGCTTGCAGATCGCATATGGCATATGTTTGCAGATCGCATATGGCATATGCTTGCAGATCGCATATGGCATATGCTTGCAGATTCGCATATGGCATATGCTTGCAGATCGCATATGCTTGCAGATCGCATATGCTTGCAGATCACATATGCTTGCAGATCGCATATGCTTGCAGATTGAATATAGTTGCAGATCGCATATGGCATATGGTTGCAGATCGCATATGGCATATGCTTGCAGATCGCATATGGCATATGCTTGCAGATCGCATATGGCATATGCTTGCAGATCGCATATGCTTGCAGATCGCATATGCTTGCAGATCGCATATGCTTGCAGATCGCATATGCTTGCAGATCGCATATGCTTGCAGATCGCATATGCTTGCATATGGCATATGCTTACATATGGCATATGCTTGCATATGGCATATGCTTGCAGATTGCATATGCTTGCAGATTCGCATATGGCATATGCTTGCAGATTGCATATGCTTGCAGATCGCATATGCTTGCAGATCACATATGCTTGCAGATCGCATATGCTTGCAGATTGCATATGGTTGCAGATCGCATATGGCATATGCTTGCAGATCGCATATGGCATGTGTTTGCAGATCGCATATGCAAACATATGGCATATGCTTGCAGATTGCATATGCTTGCAGATCGCGTAATGGCATATGCTTGCAGATCGCATAATGGCATATGCTTGCAGATCGCATAATGGCATATGCTTGCAGATCGCATAATGGCATATGCTTGCAGATCGTTAATGGCATATGCTTGCAGATCGCATATGGCATATGCTTGCAGATCGCATATGCAAGCATATGACATATGCCTGCAGATCGCATATGCCTGCAGATAGCATAATGGCATATGCTTGCAGATCACATATGCCTGCAGATCGCATAATGGCATATGCTTGCAGATCGCATATGCAAACATATGGCATATGCTTGCAAATTGCATATGCTTGCAGATCGCATAATGGCATATGCTTGCAGATCACATAATGGCATATGCTTGCTGATCGCATAATGGCATATGCTTGCAGATCGTTAATGGCATATGCTTGCAGATCGCATATGGCATATGCTTGCAGATCGCATATGCAAGCATATGGCATATGCTTGCAGATCGCATATGCCCGCAGATCGCATATGGCATATGCTTGCAGATCGCATATGCTTGCAGATCGCATATGCTTGCAGATCACATATGCTTGCAGATCGCATATGCTTGCAGATTGAATATGGTTGCAGATCGCATATGGCATATGGTTGCAGATCGCATATGGCATATGCTTGTAGATCGCATATGGCATATGCTTGCAGATCGCATATGGCATATGCTTGCAGATCGCATATGGCATATGCTTGCAGATCGCATATGGCATATGCTTGCAGATCGCATATGGCATATGCTTGCAGATCGCATATGGCATATGCTTGCAGATCGCATACGGCATATGCTTGCAGATCGCATATGCAAACATATGGCATATGCTTGCAGATTGCATATGCTTGCAGATCGCATATGCAAACATATGGCATATGCTTGCAGATTGCATATGCTTGCAGATCGCATAATGGCATATGCTTGCAGATCGTTAATGGCATATGCTTGCAGATCGCATATGGCATATGCTTGCAGATCGCATATGCAAGCATATGGCATATGCTGCAGATCGC